AAAAAAAAAAAAAAAAAAAGGAATTTTACATTTATGGTTCAGTATATAATTAAGGTGAAAAATACATTTAAAATATCACTACTGTTACAATTAAGGGACCCTAAGTAAATAGATATCTATTTGAAAGTTACGTAACAGCCAAGTTTGGTGGCACAGTCCTATAAGTCTTGCACCCAGCACTTAGGAGACAGAGGCTAGAGGATCACCATGAATTTGAGGTTAGCCTGTGTTACACATTGAGACCCTGTTTAAAAAAAAAAAAAAAGTTACTTACTTAACTCTAGGCTATTGTAATAGCCAAGAATGAGATGTCCAAAGACCTTAAGTAGAAAAACACCTAAAGGCTAGAAAGAAACAGTGTTCCTACTTATTAATTCAACATATATTGATTGTCTACTACTTGCAAGATCCTGTACAAGCTAAGAAGCTTCTAACCAGGTGGAAAGACAATTCTATAGGGAGAAGTATACAGAAATAAAATTTAGACGCTACCTTAAACATAATGGAGGGCTGGGGATTTAGCTCAGTGGTTTGACTGCCTGCTTTGCAAGCGCAAGGTCCCGGGTCCAATCCCCGGTACCAAACAAACAAACAAAACAAAAAATAAACATAATGGAAAAAATTCCATCTGAGAAGTGCTAGAAGTGGGAAGAAAAGGGACAGAAGGATAACTTCTAATACAAGAGATGGGGGAACGTTTATACTGGCAAAGACAGTATCTGACCCAGGTTCTAACACACATGATTTCAACAAGTAAACACTGGGCATCCCAATGAAAGCATCCTAGAAAGAAGACAAAGTATATAAGACACAGCAAATATGAAATAGTTTCTACAGATATTACTGAGGACTCTGGGAAAAGAACCAAGTGGAAATTTAGGTTAGAAATAAAAATGAAGGACTTATATGACAAGATAATCAATCCAGGGACTTTTTTGCTTTTTTTAAGCAGGCAAAAGGAAGCCACTGAAAGGTTTTTAAAACCATTGGAAGATTTATCATTGGAAGATAAATCATCAGATGGTACTTTAATATTGCTTGACTTACAAACAAGTTCCATTCCAGCAGAATTGTTTGTAAGTCAGATTCGTTCATAAACCAACAATCTTATGCAGCATACCTATGAAAGTTTGCAACTGGAATGTTCATTAAGTCAAGGACCTACTGTATTGTAAACTGGACAGAGTAGAAATGGGAAAACAGTGTGGTACCATACCAATACAAACAGAAAAAATAAAGCTGATGTGGTGTCAGAGTTAGAAAACAACAGATACAAAACATAGTTTCAACAACTTCACTTGATGATTTACTTAGTATTTAGTGTTCAAAATGTAATTCATCATATAAAACAAGGTTAGTATTCATGTTATTCCCATTAAAAATTCATTGAATAAACAATGTCTCAGCATATTCATGTGGTTCCTTCTTTAAAAGCTGTTAGAAATAACTAATCACATCTATATTAAGGACACAAAATGGATAATAAAGAACAACATACACATACTTTCTGCATTCTGAATAGAATCTCATTATGAACAATTTCATTCAAGGAAAAACATTTTAAACTCAAAAGTTTGTTTCCACAGAAAATAAAGTTTGGATCGGGATTTTCTACACTATCCTGTAACATCCCCACATCTAACACATCTTTACATGACAGTCAACTTGTCTTAAAATTATTTTTGGACAACTCAACTCAGTATTTTTCTACTAGGCTAATTATTTCTCAACCACTAGCCCCTTCTTCATTTTCCCTCTCCTTACCTCCCCACCCAACAAATCCCTTTGTATGTCTAAAAAGCAAGACACTGTATGACACTGTGATTCTAAGACAGTTTAAATATATAAATCTTACAATTACACAAATTTGTTAACCTTAGCTTTTATGAGAGACGTTTCAGGGATACACTAAATTTCTAAGCACATGAATGACAAATGCAGAAGCGATGGTTCACCATTAGAGTGAAACAAAGGGGGAAACACACAATAGATGGGTGGCAAATCTTACAAACTTTGCAAAACAGAAAAGCTGCAGCTGGACTGCAGCCACAACTATAAAAGGAAATGAATAAACCAAAATGAAGAAAAATACAAAATTTGAGTGATCAATAAGAGTAAAAAAAGGTTTTTCAACATTAGTATTAGTTTTTAGTAGAACAGCATTTAATACTGTCACTAATTTTAAAAAAGGGTAATTCACTGTTTTCAAGGACACAAGAAGTAATTTCTATATATCTTCTATAGGACAATTATACTTCATTACACTTGCATGTGCTCAATCCTCTCAAACATTTCCAAAAATACAGTCTTATAATGAGGTTCTAATGACACAATTTATTCTGTAGGTTTGGTTATAGCACATTTTAAAAATTATTTTAAAGACTTAATGAAATCATTGTCAACAAAAAGTCACAAAGGCCTTCTGCTTATTCAAAATCATTATATAAAACACTGTAACATTGCAAACAAGGTTTGAAAAATCTGACAGCTAATAACCATAAAATAAGGGGGACTTAAAAAAAAAGCTTTTTCATTTTCCATTCTTTCCCTTTCACTACCAGATACACAAAATGTCTGTAGACTGTTAGCTCTAAAATAAAAATACAGTATATGTATATTTCACATGTATACGGGAACTATCACATATATGTACATATTGATAGTGACAAGAAAGAAGACTTGGCTCTTTTTCTAACTCAGAGTTAAAGTTATATTAAACTCTATCCCATAAATTAAGTTAAATCTCCATAAATTAATAATAAAATATTGCACGTAAATCTCTGAGTGACTGAATTCTAAAAAGATAAAAACCTACGGCTACAACTAAGAATGTCCAATCCCTGAAAATCACTAAGCGGCATTTGATTTCTATAAAAGAAAATGGTAATCTTAAAATGAATAATCCACATAAGCAACTCAGTTTCCGAAGTTAACCAAAGTAAAATACAAAGAACCAAATGAGACAAATATATGAAAAGATAAGCTTTAAAGAATTCCCCCAAAAGGAAAGACTGACTTGAAGAGTGGTATACAGAACATCGTCGCAGGTAGGAGTCTTTAATGGGGGCAGGGGTTGGAGAGCCAACAAAAACCAGAACTACAAGCAAAGGCAAAACCGGGTCTTTCCACCCACCCTCACTCTAGCGCCCACCCCCACCTTCACAGGACAATGGGATCGGGGTCCTAACTGCAAACTTTAATCATGTAAACCAGAAGCAGCTTTACTGCAGCTCTTAACTGTAAATCTCCCCCTCATCCCAAACCCAGGGCACCCACGAAGAACACTTCTGCCCAGAAAATATCAGCAAGATCTTGTTAAACACAAATCAGATCCCATCACAAGATTTTTTTCTCCCAAGTACCTGGAGGATCCATTTCAATATAAAATATCAGTTCTGTCGAATAAGGCATCATCACCTCCCTCCAGTCTGCGTCATCGCGGTCCATACTCCACACCGTATTGTACATCGCGCTGTCAGGGGCAGGTCGTCAGGAAATATATAGAAAGCATATATATTTTTCTAATATTTTAAAATCTGAAAAATATATGTGTAAAAGTTCCACGCGGAAATGTACTTCAGGCCGTTTCTAACGGCCGGTTCAAATCCAGCTATCAAGACCAGAACGGGAACAGGGTCCTCTCCTCTCTCCTCCTACAGCACCCAGCAAAACGCCATCCGAACTTTCAAGCTGTAGGTTTTTCTCTTCAGAAGGTTAGACTCGCTTGGGAGCCGGAGGACAGTAATGTTAAAAAGAGGCTTCCCAAAATCCTTTCTACACACTCTCTCCAAGGAGAAGAAAAAAGCTCCGCCGCCTCCAAATCTTTCAGCGGAAGCCACTTTTGTGTCCTTCAGTAGGAGAATGAAGGGGGGGGAAACGCGTTGGGAGAAAGCTAGGGACGTGACAAAGGAAGGTATAAAAAGGGGGTTGGGATTGCGCTCAAGTTTCGGGGTCCCACTGGTCCGCAAAGCTATTCCCGAAGGGGCCGGGACTCAGGCTCCGTTTCCGTCGGCTCGGAACCGAAGCTGCCGCAGGTTCAGGGTTTGCGCCCGTCGGAAAGTCCAGTCAGTTCGGCTCGGCTTGGCGCTCCCGCCCGGGGGTGAGCACCACAGCCTGCGCTAGATTTCCCCACGCTCTGCCCTGACTCCAGCCACTAGAGTTTCATTTTAACTGCGCCGGGGGAACGCTCTCCCCCGCCCTCTCTGCACCCCCCCCAGGCGTAGCCCAACCGCGTCGGGCAGGGGGAAATAGCCAGAAACCCTACCGCATTTTCACGCTGTCCCGCTTCGATGTGCAGGGAGGGTCTGCTCCTTGAGAAAGTGTTCAAGAAGCTGTCTTCTACTCCGGGTTTCAACCATCCCCGCCTCTCTCTAGAGCTCAGTTCCTGAATCAGTGGTCCGACCTCGCCCCCAGCCTCAGTTGGAATGGTATAGCCCGGGCGCTGGCCGCCCGCCAGGAGTCAGTGCCGAGAGCACGCGAGCCAAACTGGGAGGGAGGGAGAAAGGGAGGGGGCGAGGTAAAGCGGCTGGTGATTGGCTGATCCCGGTTGCCGGAGCCTGGAGCCTGCGTCTTTTGTCTGTCTTGCTCTGGCAGAGGAGCGGGAGACCCCTGCGCGCCCCAAGCGAGCCAATCAGGAGATACCCGGCGCCGGCCGGTGAAGCGGCGATTGGTCAAAGCCCAGTTACTAAGCGGGACAAAGGCAGAGGGGGGGGAAAAAAAAGAGGAAAAAAAAAAAAAGAAAAGAAAAGAAAGAAAGCGCAAACGACGGTTACTGACAGGCTGGGCAAGTGATCGGGTATTCAAGCTGCCCAGAGACAGGCGGGGCTCCTGCCGAGGCTCGGTTCGGCCGGACAAGTGAGGCTGGGGAAGACAGACTGGCGAGACACACCTCTGCCTAGAGACTGGCCGCGGGGGAGGGGAGCGGAGGGGGAGGGGCGCTTGCTGCTACTTGGTGGAGCGCACGCTCGCCTGGTCCCTAGAAGGTCTCCAGGCAGAGTCCCTCCTTACAGACCTCTTCACCATGCTAGGGCTGCCCTCTCCATCCCGTGTGACAAATTGTCAAATAAAGCAGAGGTCGCCAAACCCTCTTTGAAGACTATTCCCGCTCAGTGAAAGGTTGTGTTAAAGGGCCCTGCCACCGTCCCGGCCGTTACCTGAGCCGCTCTCAGCTTCTCTCAAGAGCAGGTAGGCATATCTCAGGGAGGCATTCATAGCTCCTCTGCGCTTCCCACCCAAGGACTTTTGAACCCCGTGGTAACTCCCCACACCTAAAATGGTGAGGTTTCTCAGCAGGCCGTCAGGCTGGAGTGTTCAAACCAGAAAGAAAAAGGAAAATCTTGGAATTACAGTGCGTGTGTTATTTCTGAGATAAATCACGGGTGTTGGAATATCTTGGCAAAACGACTCTATTCTGTTTTCCTGACAGACCTATCTGTCTTACACACCCAGACCCTCCCTCAAACTTAAAGCTGTGGGATGAGCGTCAGTGTGAAAATTCCAAAAATCTTGCATTTCAGAAAGAGCTAATTAACTTGCTGGGGAACACTGAATAGCTAAAAGTAGATTTGTGTCTGGAATTGCCATCCTGCCCTACAATATAGTCTGAGGAGGCCAAAAACTGCTCCATTTCCTCTTTACACAGGAGTAACAAAGCCCATTGTGTTTGAGTTGACACCCTGATTTAAGCCCTCGAAAAACCTCCTACCCCAAGCAGGCTCTGCTATATAGAGTTGCCACGTTTCATCCTACCTCACAAGGTGGTTCTGCCTTCTTAAAGGTGCCTCAGTTGAGACAGTTTCCGAGAGAAGACAGCTAAAATGTGTATGAACTGAGTAGAGAGTAAAGGGGTAAAAAGCTAGTAAAAATGAATGGACAGGGTCAAGCTGGAAAAATAAAAAAGGGATTCTTCATGACATATCTGAAAATGCTTTCTTACATTTCCGGAATCCAAAGGCAAATCAGAAGCTGGAACAACTGGGAAAGGGCTCATTAATTTTAATCTGCTGAACCATTCCTTCAGGTGGAATGATGCTTGCTGAAAGATTAACTCTAATTTGAGGCTGGCTTCTCAACAGTCTCTACTTCACCGTATATGGGAGCCAGAAGTATTCACATTTGATAATTCAAAAAGCAGAACAGTCAGTCAAGGGTAAGTGGTTTATTTTTGTTCACAGGTGTTCCTATGCATTCCCATACAAAATGAGGGTGAAGAGACAGAGTGTAGAAAAGAATGGTTTTCAGATTTCCACGGCAGCTTTTGACTGAACCATTTTCATCAAGTACAGATGGGGTTCCAATTTCTAGTACAAAGAACAATGACCAGGCCTTAATTCACACCTAAGGCTTTAACAGATCGAATGAAGTAGCATAGTATATAATCAGATCCTCAAGATGAGCTCATAGAGTAAATCTGTGATTCATCCTCACTACCTAAAATTATATTACCCATCTCTCTGACTTAAATAGATATTTGAACAGGAGATCTCCAAAGAATAACACTATTGGAAGCAGCCATGATGAGCAAAGTACACTTCTTTCAGACTTTCTTATCAGCACTGCCATGGTGGGGAGCGCTTGTTAGATAATGCTGGCCTTTCTTTCAGTTGAGAAGTAGAAGTCAAGTTCTGATTGCTTGTCATCAAACTGCCTTGGGCTCTTTGGCAAAGGTAGGAAATGTTTCCTGGACCATTTCCATGCTAAAGAATTATATTTGGCTTGTGTGTGGATTAAATTCAGCTCTAAGAGCTCAAACTCCTAGGCCACAACCTGCTACTTTGGGAGTTGCTTTTTATTTTTTCCTTTCACCCCATCCTCTCTTTTTTTTTTTTTTTCTAGTAATCTTAGGTAAATCAAAAACTCTTTCTGCCTTGGTTTATAATCTGTGAAGGAGGAGGTTGTCTTCATATTTATACAAGCTAGTTTTTTATGAAACACTCTAAGAAAAAAAAAAGCCACTTAAGTATTTAGAATAGCACCTTTCTGTAACTCCAGACAGACAGGATGTCCTTCATTTTTCAACTTGGTATGGTTTTATTATGAAACTTCAGATATATTCCATTTACTCCTCTTTATTTGAAAGATAGGTAAAATATTCCTTCTGTGCTCTGAATATAGGGTATGATCTCAGAATTCTCTGTGCTAGCAGAATCAGCCTGGAACTCAGCCAAAAGTTCTTTGTGATTAAAGATGCCATCTGAGCATGCAATATTTTTTTAAAAGCCTTGCAAAATAGAAACATAATTTTTTTCCCTCTGAGGTTACTTGCTTTGACTCCAGGACTGACTTTAGCCTTTAGGGAGGAATTCCACTGGTGTCAATCTCCTTTCACTTTTTTCTTTCTCTTCGTCTTTCCTTGACTACTTGTCTTGATGAGGCCCAGTACATGCAGCTAAATAAACTCACTTAATAAATGACTCTCCCAGAAAACACTAAAAATTATCAGTTGCAAATTTCAGGGCCTTCCTAGCCACATACCTTGTAAATCAGAGATATAACAAGTTTTGATTAAAAAAAAAAAAAAGTTTGCCATTATAGTACAAAAAGAGCAATGGTAGTGATCTTGAAGGAGATTTCACCTGGGAATTTGATAGTCATCTCTTGAGAGAGTAGCAATACCTAAAATCACAATTTTCTATTTTTCTATTAACAGCATTCCTTTTATTTGGCATTTGCATTTCTTACCTCTCCTCAACTTTCTTAATACTTGAATATTTATGATACAGTTGATCATATCAGCCCAAGGCACCTAGAAATCATCATATTACATGAACAAGTGGGCTCCAGCATTCCTCCAGATGCTAATAAATCCCTGGGCTTAGAAGGCAATATTTGAGGGCTTCCTTAGACCCATCAGCACATGACATAGATCTGCTATGCCTAACTCTTCTCCCTTTGAGTCTTCAGATTTTGAAATCACAAAAGCAGATCTCTCTAGCCTAACATGCTTCCTTCTTTTGATGTCTGCCCTTCCAGCAACACAGGGACCACCTGGACAGTGTGTGTGTCACTGCTACAAAATTTTCCCTCAAACAAGGCAATAGATTTCATCTTGGCTTTTACCAGGAGAGAGGGCGCACACACAAATGAGATCCAAATGACAGGAACAATAGTCCAGGCTGTTTCACAAGGGCAGGGCACAAACAGGGCAGGTACCTGGTAAGCTCTGTTACCTCATTTAATCTCCATAACCCTGCCAAGGATAGTTGTATTTTTATTCTTATTTTGCAGATGAGGAAATTGAGACCCAGAGTAGTGAAGGGACTTGTTCAGAGTCCTGCAGCCGCTTAGCAGCCCAGCCAAGACTGGAACCCCATGTTACTGCAGATTTATTACCTTTTCCACAACATGACATAGTTAGTTTCTTCCTTCCCTTCATTCACTTGGCAAATGTTACTGATGCTTCCATACACTGGGGATACAAAAATGAATAAAACAGAATCCTTAACATTGAGCACAGAATTAAGAGGAGCCAACAAAGGAATAATACAGGCATATGATAAATTGACAAAGCATTATGAGAACCCCAGAAACGATGATCTAGGCCACATGTGGATGTTGGAGACCACCTAGAGGAAGTAAGTTTCCCCAAACATGTAAACACCTGCTTTAACTATGAGAGCTCTTTATGTCTGTTTTCCCAGTCCATATGATTAACTCCAAACCTGAAAAAGTTTCTCTGAAAGCTGGCCCAGAGATCAGATCAGCAGAGCTCCTCATCTTGAATCTAACTGCAATAGCTTCCTTGCCATACTTTTTTTTTTTTTTTTGTACTGGGGATCAAACTCAGGACCTTGTGCTTGCAAGGAAGGCAGCAGAACCGCTGAGCTGAATCCCTGGCCCTTGCCTTACTTTCTTTAGTCCATATTCCACACAGCTAAAGTGATGGCTCTAAATAAAAAATCTAAACCTGTCCCTTCCTTCCTTAAACACCAAAGCAAGCCAGGGATATCAGTGCATATCTGTAATCCCAGCCCGCAGGAGGCTGAGGCAAGAGGATCGTTGTGAGTTTGAGGCTAGCCTGGGCTAAACTGTTAATTCAAGTCTAGCATGACTACATAATGAGATCTTGTCTTAATCAATCAACCAGCCAACCAGTGCTTGGTCTTATGCCTTTAACTCAGAGCATTTGATTGAAAACTAATCCACACAGGCTGTTTCACAGTGAACTTCTTTTTTATTTGTTTGTTTGTTTGTTTGTTTTTGTTTTTTGAGACAAAACTGCTCTGGAACTCACTGTGTAGCCCAGGCTGGTCTCAAACTCCCAGTGGTCCTCCTGCCTCAGCCTCCCGAGTGCTGGCGTTACAGGCATGCGCCACCATGCCTGACTTTACAGTGAACTTCTTTTCACAGTGAACAACTTTTATTTTTCTTTTTATGATACTGGAGACTTGTATACAGAAAGCACTGAACAATATCCCTAGTCCTTTTTGTATGTATATATGTGTTTGAGACAGGATGTCACTCATTGCTCAGGCTGGCCTTGATCTTGTAATCCTCTTGCCTCAGCCTCCCAGATGCTGGGATTAAAAGCATGTGCCACAGTGCCCAACTGTGATTTTCTTTTAATTCAAAGGTGGAGACTATCTTGTGTTCTGCTCAGTTTATGCTTCTTGCAAAAGAGGCATTCAATGAAGATCACTGTTTTTCCCCAAATTTTATTCAGAATTCTTTTTCTCTCCTCTCAGTGCCAATGTATGAAATTCTAAAATATTTTTAGGACTAAGTCTCCTAAGGTACTAAGAGTATATGCTCAAAAGCAATATGTTTTTTTCATATTTTACTTTATTTATTTATTCTTTTTGGTACCGGGGATCAAACTCAGGACCTTGCGCTTGCCAGGCAGGTGGCAACACCACTGCACTAAATCCCCAGCCCCTTTTCTTCATATTTTAAACAAGAAATGTAACTGGTCATCACATCTACTAAATATGTAATATAATCATTTCACTTCAAGTAGATTTGTTAAACGTTAATGGTAACAATTCAAGACGAAAACTCAGCTCAATCAACTAAGATTTCCTACAAATTAAATCTTGTGCTGAGTAATCAGTGAGACACTGTTTTTGTCCTAGGGTGAACCCAGCATCTAGTAAGAGACTTAAGTGAAGAAACAACAGTTTCACCGACTACTGTTCTTTCAAACTGACCAAATCTACCTGAGGCTGTAAGATCAAGGTAACATCCTTTGTTTACCCTTTCTCTCTTTCCTCTCTAATAGCCTTACTCTATTTGTCAGTCTTCCTGAATTCCTTTGCTACTGAGTCTTAACCTCACATTCCTCACTGTGTTCTTGTAATACTGACTTCTAGCTATAGTCTCCAACCACAGCTGAAACCCATCCTTTGGATTAGGTCTTTTCCAAGACAATGGAGGAGTTTCGCCCACTATTTTACCTTGATATTGGGCCTTGTGCTTGGTATTTCTGCTAGGTTTTCCCAGGACCCTATAAATAACCCAATAATACCTGTCATACCCATGAACTGTTCCATCTCTGAAATTTTAACTCTATACCTGCCTTTCTCTGCCTTCATCCTCCGCCCCATTTTTCTCTTTTTTTGGCCAAACTCAGACCTTGGGGAAAATGTTTGCCTCCTAATACCATCTTAGGGTATTGAATAGTGGTTCTGCCCTAAAAATGTGTCCAAGTCCTAAACCCTGAAAGCTCTGAATGTGACCTTCTTTGAAAAAGGAAGTCTGTGCTGATATAATTAAAGATTGTGAGATCATTCTGAATTTTAGGAATTTTAGAGTACTTGCCTAGCGTAAGCAAAGCTGTGGGTTCAATCCTCAGCACTCAGAGAAAGGGCTTTTATAACTGGTTAGGCCAGCTAGATCCAAGAGCAATACCTGGAGTACGAATGGACAGATGATGCAACATGAATTAGTTGCCCCATTATAGTGGATACCTTCTGATACCTCTGGCCAGATCACCATGAAGTCTCGCTTCTCAGTTTGTACATGACCTTGCCCCTGTCCATGATTGATGGAACCTAAGCCAAGTAATCTGTAATTTCTTTCACAAATCTTGGGAATAGTACCAAACACAAGAATTGGTCTCTTCAGAGATTTGGACCTGTAACATGGACTCAGTCTCTAAAAGTTGAATTTGTCCACTGTCCACTCTTGAGGGCTGAGTTGCAAAGGAAGCCAGTCTTCTGAAAGTCAAAGAAAGATGAAGAAAATGCACTGAAAGGAACAGGTATAAAGACTGGAATGGCTACAAGTAGTAAGCAATTTCCTGAATTGCTGTAGTTTAAATATGGTTGTCCCCCAGAGGTTCAGGTGCTAGAATCTTGATCCTCAGTTATATTAGTTTTCCTGTTGCTGAGACACAATACCCAACACCCACAATTTAAAGGAGGAAAGGTTTAATTTAGCTCACAGTTTGTCCATAATCACCTGGTTCTAAGGCAAAGACATCATGGCAGAAAGACATGGAGGAGCAAAAGCAACTGAGAAGCAACGCAGGGGAAAGTGCCAGAGAGGAATGGGATGAGGAACCATATATAATTCCCAAGGTCACATCTCCACGACCCACTCAGACACACCCAGGAGTGTGCTTTAATGATAATCTGCTAGCCCACCTAGTGTGGTGGCACTTACCTGTAATCCCATTCAGGAAGCTAATGCAGGAAGATTGCCACAAGTTCAAGGCCAGCCTAAACTACATAGTGAGATACTGTCTCAGAAAACAAAAAAAAGATGCTGGGGATGTAGCTCAGAGGTAAAGCACCCCTGGGTTCAATTTCCGAGTACTACCACCAAAAAAATAGTCTGCTAGGTGTTTCTTTTTCTTTTCTTTCTTTTTTTTTTTTTTTTTTCTTTTTATACTAGGGATCAAACTCGGACTTTACACTTTCAGGGAAGGCAGTGGCATCACTGAGCTAAATTCCGGGACCCTGCTAGGTGTTTCTTAATCCAATGAAATTGATGTATCAGGATTGATGATCACATTTAATATAGTGGGTGGTAGAAATACAAAAACAGTAGTCTAAACAGATGTATCATAAGCCAATTTCAGTATAATGAACACCTCACAGTACCAATATTTATAGGAGTTTCTTAATTCAATAAAATCGACATACTAAGATTAATGGTCACACCAACATGACATTATTGAGAAGTGGTAGAACCTTTAAGAGGTAGACCTAAAAGGTAGACGTATGCCAATAATCCTAACACTCAGAGAGGCTGAGGTAGGGGAATCACAAGTTCAAACCCAGCCTGGCCAACTTAGTGACTCGGCAAGACCCTGACTCAAAATAAGAAAGAGCTAGGGATATAACTCAGTGCAAGGGCTCTGGGCTCAACCCCCAGTATTGTGTGCATGCATGCGCGTGTGCACACACACACACACACACACACACGCACAAAGGTAGGGCCTGCTGGGAGATCATTCACGGAGGCACGACCCTCAGAAAGTATTACTGCTCATCCTGAAGGAATGGCTTAGGTCTTGAGACTAGTTACCACAAGAGTAAATGATAATATAGTTATTTGGCCTCCTCAGCTCACTCTTGAACACAAGCTCTTCCATAAGTGCCATTTGCCACTCTTTTTTGAGACAAAGCCAGGGTTGCCCTTGAATTTGCAGTGATCCTCCCACCCCTGCCACCTGACTGCTGGGATTATAGGCCCGTGCTGCCACACCCAGCCCATTTGCACATGCTCAAACCCCGGGATACTATCCGTCTCCCATCTTACGATGCCGCATAAGAACTTCACCAGATACAGCTACTCAAACTTGGACTTTTCAACTTCTGAAATTTCTTTAGTGCTCAGCCTCAGGCATTTTGTTATAAGAACATGAACTATACTAAGACATAAGTCTAGAGCCTCCTAACATCTGATCTTGTTCCTATACTAAGGTAAGATGCACATCTAACATTTCCAGGGCCCAGGCCAAGAGTATAAATGGAGGCCCATATACCATATGCCAAAATGTAAAAGTTATGCATAAACCAACAAACCATTAAATAAAAACTATTAAATCCCCCTATCTTGCCAAATATATCTACATGCAAACCTCAAAGACCAGATTCCAATTTAGAATTCAAAGATCTTTAGAATTTTGGAAGAACATACGGAACATGGTGGGCATGGAGAGGCCTCCTTTCACCTCTCACCCATGGCTTCATCCTGTACCGTGAGAAGCGTCCTTTTACATGTGTTCAAGCTCCTTCCATCCATATACCATGGCCACTCTTGGGGTCTGAAGATGCTGTACCCGCAGTGCTATCTGTTGTTACGAGAACAGATCCTGGGGAAGGCCCATGCAGTTCCTGGAAACAAGCTAAAGGCCATTTGGGTAGAGAATTCCAGGATTTGTGATATTGAGCATAGTCTAACGATGTAAGTGAAGAGTTGGGGTGAATAAGTCCCTTTGGACCCTAGGACTAAAGGCCCCCTAGGCATGGTGCCCAAAGGTCCCTTCTTTTTTTTTTTTTTTTTTACAAAACGCCCTTGGCGGTGTCCCAAAGGGCCCTTTTTTTTTTTTTTTTTTTTTTTTTTTTTTACTTGTACCAGAGATGGAACTCAGGATCTTGCACTTGCCAGGCAGGCACTGTCCATGCTGAGCTATGACCCTGTCCAAAGGTCCCTTTTTTTTTTTTTTTACTGGGGATCAAACCTGGGTCCTTGTGCTTGCAAGGCAGTGGGCAGAACCACTGAGCTAAATCCCCAGCCCCCAAAGGTCCCTTCTTTTTCAGGCCCAATGGAGGCTGCTTATACAGATTAAGCAGTCTCTATATAGATTCTGTTACTTGCAACCCTAGAATCACTAGACCACTACCTTTATCCTTTGAACCTGTCCAGTTTTCTCTCTCCATTCCTCAAGGGACTTAGAGTAGTACCTGGGGGAGGGCTTCCTCGTGAACCTACCAAGTAGGCCAAAAGCAAGGAGGCAGCTTTTCTGCCAAGGATGAATTCTGCTGTCAGTAGTAAATTGTCTTCCTCCATCACTGTGACTTTCCTCTCTCACTTAAGTATATATACATTATATCTCCCATCTAGTGATTTTCAGCTTAATAGGTAACCTCAAATCCTAAAATATCACTTTATTTTATTCTTACATCTTCTGGTACTATACTCAACATTATGCTGGAGTTTATGATTCCTGCCTCCTATCTGATTTGGGAGTCCTCCAAAATGGGAAGGGTGTTCAGATACAAGCAGCCAAAAATGTCCAGTGTTCTCTATAACCTATTAATCAGGTCTTAAAGCTGTCTGTCTACCTTGAAGAGCTTTGGTTCTTTCCCTTGGGAAGCCTTGATTAATTGGGGTTGGGGGCAACACATATCTGTATACTTGGCTTAGGTCCCTGTTGGTTACTCTTCTCTCCGACTCCATACTCCGATTCCTACTCAGGTAGGAATGATCTGCCTTGGGCAATGCGGTGAAATGTCACCACAAGCATAATATATGAGAAATGCAAAACCTTCCTCCTAGACCTGCCTCAGAGCCTAACTCTCAGTGGCCTGTGAGTACACCCAGTGAAGAGAAAGCAGTGTGCCCATAGACAAAGTGCACATGGTGCCATACCCTGCTGTGTGAGCTATTCAGAAAGCTGAGGCAGAAGGATTGCCTGAACCCAGGAGTTTGAGGCCAGCCGGGGCAACAAGTGAGACATCATCTCTTAAAAAAACAAAATTAGCCAGGCGTGGTGGTGCACGCCTGTAATCCCAGCACTCAGGAGGCTGAGGCAGAAGGATCCTGTGAGTTCAAAACCAGCCTGGGCTACATCGTGAGTTCCAGGTCAGTCTCAACTACATAGTGAGACCCTGTCTCAAAAAAAAAAACCCAAAAAAAACAAACGAAAACAAAATTAAAAAACAGACCTCTAGCAACCAAACTAGCACTGGAAAACACATGAGCAAGCAGAAGACAGTATAATACCTCCCGTACTGTCTTTCTCACTTACCTGTGATTTTCCACATTTGAGCAAGGAACTCTGAATTGTTTTTATAGTGTTTTTTAAAGTAGTGGTATACTTCACCATCTGACAGACTCATGGTAACAAAAACAATAGATTTTCTGTCTTCTTCATTTTTCAAGCATAGTACCTGCATAGTTCAGATATTTACTTTCCTTTTTTTTTGTACCAGCGATCAAACTTGGGACCTTGCATTTATGAGGCATGTAGTGGAACCACTAAGCTAAATCCTCAGCCCCTAGTTCAGATCTTAAGTGTCTCCCATGTTTTAAAGGTTTGGTCCCTCTGTTGGCCTTATTGGAAGATGGTGGAATCTTTTAAGTGGCGAGGCCTAGTGGAAAGTCTTCAGTTCACCGGGGATGCACCCTTGAAGGGAATAGGGGACCTCAGCCCTTTCTCTCTTCCTGTCTCTTTTGTGCCCTGGCCACAAAGTGAATGGTTTTGCTCTTCTGTATGGTTACAGCATGATATGCTATCTTGTGACTGAGCAACAGAGACCAAAGCAACAGAGATGATCCGTCAAGGACTGAAACCTATAAAACTGTAAGTCAAAATAAACTTATTCTCTCTTTTTCTTTTTGGTACCCAGATCAAACGCAGGCCCTTGAGCTGTGAGTCAGGCGGTGGCACCACTGAGCTAAATCCCTGGCTAAATTTATTCTCTTTATAAGTTGATTTATCTCAGGCATTTGTTACAATGACAGAGAGCTAAGACAGTATCTTACCCTTAATGCTTTCAAAACTGTGGGCCAGCAATTGCTAGGCCAGCCTGAATCAATTAGCTCACCAAAGTTACCGAGGCCTCCAACCCCTAAAAGGGTTCAATGAAGTGGGGAAATCGACTTCCTTCTGGATTTTAAGCCAACATCTGACTTGGTGCCCTCAGTGGGCCCTGGTGATACCAAGGATTCTACAGGACTCTACAGAATCTAAAGGCTTCTACAATCCTGGAAATATTTTTCATAAACATTGTGATTGTTTCTAATTTCCCATAAGTTATAGAATGAGAGCAGTTGTCTGGAAATATTCTGGGTCTGAGATGTGAGTCAGTAGTATAGCACATGGTAGCATACCCAGGGCCCTGGGTTTGATCCCCAGCGACAATAGTAATTATAATAATGATGATTGGGATCCCATGGCCTATCCTTATGCCCTATGTGATGGTACATGTCACTGCATTTTTACTGAGATCAAGCACAATTATTGAAGTTGTAAAGGGACTACATCAGGCTCAAAGTTCTCCTATGATCCAGTATCATCATTTAATAGCATGGCTTTTCAGTTGCAAGTGACTAAAAACTAGATTAGACCAAATAAAGGCATGGTCTCATTTCAGAAACCGAAAGTAAAGGAGCTCACACAATGTTAGCAAGAACCAGACTCATCATTCTCAATCTCCTTCCCTCTGATGTTTCCCCAGGTGGTAGAAAGGATAGACCCAGCAGCTCCAGACTTACATTCCATCCAGTTAGCAATTCCATCCACCACAACACAAGTTTGTCCATGTGGTTGCAGAAACATTCTGGAAGTGGAGTCTCATTGGTCTAGCTTGGGTCACATACTCACCCCTGAAAAAATTATTAAGTCCCAAGAGGGAACATCCTAATTATTAGGCCTAAGTCATATAGTCACCCCTGGAAGTGAGCAGAGTAAGATGGTCATCTACAGAGATTGATAATTAGGGAAGGGCAGTTATTCAAAGAATAGACAAAAAATATGTTCAGTAGAAGGCTGAGGCAGGAGAATTGCTGTAAATTCGAGGCCAACCTGGGCTACATAGTTCAAGATTCAAAGTCAACCTGCACTATGTAGCAAGACCCTGTCTCAAAACAAAACAAAACAAACAAACAAACAAAAACCATGTTCAGTACTCTTGAAGAGCCTTTGATCATGGACCTCCAAGATTTCTGAAAGAGAGAGAGAGAGCTATACATATAAATGAATAAATAAAGATGTATGAGTAAACAAATAAACACTTCCAGATAAACTCAAATGACCAATCACTTTTTTTATCAGCCTCTGAGAACACACAGTAATATGTGTTCTTGAACCACCTATCCTTTTATACTAATGGACCTATACAAGATAGATCCACCCTATTTTCGTGCTCTACAGTTGCAGGAATTCTATGGTACTGCTCTAAATTCAGTTGGGAAAACTGATTCCACAGGATTTTTTTTTTCTTTCATTGAGTGTATTGGTACATTTTAGGTATACAGTACAGTTACATTCATCAGTGGGATCTTGTACCTTTACATGACAGGTCTTGGTTCTCATTTATTTCCCCTAGTCCCTGCCCTCCCTTCACTCCCTCCTACCCTCTCCTGACTCCATAGGAAATGGCTAAGCTATCCTGTATGTGGAACATGATGTACTAGACTATTTTGGAATATCTATTGAGAGCCAGGAAATGCCTACAAACCCAGAAAATATCACTGGTCATTCAAGAGATGCAGATGAAAACAACACTGAAATTCCACCTCGCCCCACAAAGAATGGCTGCTACCAAGAAATTAACCAATAACAAATGTTGGCAGGGCTGTTGGTGGGAGTGCAGACTGGTGTAACCACGGTAGAAATCAATATGGAGATACCTCAAAGAACTAGGATTAGAGGTTCCATTTGACCCAGCCATCCCTCTGCTGGGTATCTTTCCAAAAGAATTAAAAGAATCATACCATAGTGATATATGCACACCCATGTTTATAGTGGCGTAGTTTATAATAGCTAAAACTTGGAAACAGCCCATTTGCCCATCTGTTGGAGACTAGATAAAGAAGATGTGGTTTTTCTATAAAATGGAGTACTACTCAGCTATCAAGAATAAGAAACTAGAGTCATTCATAGGAAAATGGATGCATACTGAGGCCATACTCTTGAGTGAAATAAATAAGACACACGTGTAAATACTAAATAGTTTCTCTGGTGAAAAAACTAAAAGTGTAAATTGTATAACTGTATACAAATTGTGTAACTGATAATGTGAAATAGGAAGAAAAGGGCTAAAGGTGTAGGGGAAGTAGGAAAGGTAAGGGAAAGGAAATGACAAGAAAAAATATGAGAAAAGGAAAAAATGGAAACAAAGTCTTTGTAAATAGAGGAGGGTGGAGGGGCTGAAGGGAGGGCAGGGGTATGAGGAAAAATAAGAACCAAGATCTGTCATGTAAGGATACAAGATCCAAATGATGAGTGTAACTATACTGTGTACTTAAAAAGTACCAATAAATTTTAAAAAAGAGAGAGAGAAATCTAGCTGGGCTTGGTGGTGCATTCCTGTAATTCCAGCACTCTGGAGGCTGAAGCAGGAAAGTTGCAAGTTGGACCCCAGCCTAGCCAAGTTAATGACTTATAAGACCCTGTCTTAAAATAAACATTTTTTAAAGAGGGCTAGGAGTATAGCTCAGTACAAAGATCCTTGGTTCAATCCCTGGTACCGCAGTAAACAAACCAACAAACAAGAGTCTATGAGATAGAGCAGTTAATCAGTAAGTCCTTGAGGTGGTTTCAAAAATCATCTATCTCATGACAATACAGATTTCCTGCATCATTTTTTTGTTTTGTTTTTTGTTGTTGTTGTTGCTGTTGTTTTGAGACAGGGTCTCACTATGTAGTTGAGACTGAACTGGAACTCACTGTGTAGCCCAGGTTGGTCTGGAACTCAAAGTGATCCTCCTGCCTCAGCCTCCTGAGTGCTGGGATTACAGGCATGTGCCACCACACCCAGCCTTTTTGTTGTTGTTGTTGTTGTTGTTTTTGTTATTGTTTTCCTGCACCATTTTCTAAAGACTCTGGGTTTCCAAACTGTAGCTTATGCTGCTTACCCTATACTTATGACTCTGTGTCACATTTCATTTGTGGAGAAAGACACAAGTCCTGGTATGATCTGTCCATAATAACTTTTCTTTTCTTTTGGTACTGGGTATCGAACTTAGGCCCTTGCGCTTGTGAGGCAGGGAGTGGAACCACTGCGCTAAATCCCCAGCCTCTGTAATACCTTTTCTTTTAACCTTTCAAACTTATGAGAATCTCCTAAATTAAAGTTTTGAGGTAAGGAACTCAGAGTGGAAACAAGAGAATGAGAATTTTGACTCTTTCTTGTCTTGATTTTCCTGGGTGAAGATAGAACATCCCGACACTGTGTCCCTACATGCTGTAGGTAAACACTTCACACTCTGGACTTAATTCCCCCGACATACCTACCTCTTCTGAGCTCCACCAAGTCCATATAATCACAGATTTGTTTTTACCTCTTTTTTTCTTCTTTACAAGTCCTATAGGAAACTCAAGACTCACAACCAATATCAAAACCACATTTGATACGTCCTATTTTTGTGATGGGAGAGGGCACAGGTTTGATACTTATGAATTTACCTCAGGCACCTCTTAGGAGTTGATATTATGGCTGCCTCCAGAAGACAGTAGGATCTTTGCCTGGTCAGGTCTTCTTCCAGAAAGGTTGAAGACAGTTTAAATCCAGTCCCTTCTCTACTGCCTCTTTCTCTGATGCTTTTCAACCTTAGGAATGGGTTTTCTTTTTTGCCAGGAACCTTCTTACTGCTAACTTTCTCCAATGTTCTGCCTTTTAGAGGATCAGAAGAGCCCATTCTCTTACCTCTTCCTCCAAAACCCACAGGAATACCATTCAAGTCCATTTGTCCCATTAAATCCCAGGCATACTTGTCATTGGCCATTGGAATCTTGCTGGGTATCTACAATCATCTCAATTGACTGAGTTCTGTATCTATCATTGTCTCTGTTTCTACTGAGTGTGTGTGTGTGTGTGTGTGTGTGTGTGTGTGTGTGTGTGTGTATCTCGGGTATTGAACCCAGGCCTTCACAGAGCCATTTAAAAATTTTTTTGACAGTGTCTCAGTAATTTGCCCAGGCTGGGCTCATACTTGCAGTCCTCCCATGTCAGTCCTCCTGCATCAGCCTACCAGAGTGCTATGATTACAGGCATGTGCCACCAAACCTGGCTCTTCTCTCTCTCCCGCCTTCTCCCCCCCCAATTTATTTATTTATTTGTTTAGAGATGGGGTCTTAGGGCTGGAGGTATAGCTCAGTGGTAGAGTGCTTGCTTAGCATATACAAGGCCCTGGGTTCGCTGATGGGGTCGGGGATGCCTGCCTCTGCTTCTTGAGTAGCTAGGACTTACAAAGAACAAACTGTTATGCCTGGCTCTAGTGTCGACTGAGATTTCTTCATGATTTCGGCTGCTTCCCATTCTCTTTTTCTGATTAATTTCAACAGTTGAAAGAATCTAAACAGCCATCCTGGCAACTGGAATCCTCCCCAAAACCTTGCTTTTGAACAGCCCTAGTCTTCTCCTATTACACAGGGGATCTGATTCCTACTATTGGATTTCTGGCTTCTGTTTCCTCTGCCTTCTACAAGAGTTTCTCCAGACCCACTCCAGACCCAATTCAGCAGTAAGCACCTTTTCTCTCTCTGATAGTACAAAGAAAACCATCTGAGTAGCCCTGTAGTGTTTTTATTTTAAAGAAGATATTTTAATGACAGTTGCTCTTCAATAAGTGCCAAGA